GGGTGTCTCCTGGTGGGGGGGCGTCCCGGTGCCCCTGGGGACCACGAGCCCGCCCCCCCGCCTTGTGGCAGAATGAATGAGCCCTGGCTTGCGTGTGCGCGCACGCGTGTCCATGTCTCTGCGTCTCTAGGCTGGGTTGGGGGCGGGGAGTCAGGGCCAGGAAGGTCTCGGGGCCCGCCCCCCACCCATCCCTGCCTTCGCTTCCCACGGCCCCCCAGAACTCCAACGTGGAGAACCTGCCCCCCCCACATCCTCCGCCTGGTCTACAAGGAGGTCACGACGCCCACCTCGGACCCTCCCGATGGCATCAAGGTCTTTCCCAACGAAGAGGATCTCACGGACCTGCAGGTCACCATCGAAGGCCCAGGTCAGCCCCGCCCCCCACCTGTCTGCCCCCTGCCCCTGTCCCCGCCCCCCCCTCATGCCAACCCCCTTGTCTCTGGGCAGAGGGGACCCCCTACGCGGGAGGCTTGTTCCGCATGAAGCTGCTCCTGGGGAAGGACTTCCCAGCGGCGCCCCCCAAGGGCTTCTTTCTCACCAAAATCTTCCACCCCAACGTGGGAGCTAACGGCGAGATCTGTGTCAACGTGCTCAAAAGAGACTGGACGGCTGAACTGGGCATCCGCCATGTGCTGCTGGTGAGTGCAGAGCCAGCTCTGAGGAGATGCCGGCCGCCCCCTGGGAGTGAGGGCTGCGGGGCCTCCCCGTGTGGGCAGGCCCTCGGGTCAGCTTGCCTTCACAGGTGGCCTCTGCCCAAGTAGGAGAGGGTGGGGGTGGGGGACAGGACAGGAGGCTGTGTGGGAAAACGGCATGCCGCTGAGTCTGGGCAGAAGGCAGGAATTGCAAGAGGTGAGGTAAGGAGGAAGAGCATTCTGGACATGGGGCTCAGCTTGGGTAAAGGCCCAGAGGTGGGAGTTGGGGTACTGGAGGAACAGGGTCTCTGAGCCTGCGGTGTGGACAGGAGATACAGAAGAAGCCAGGCCCTTGAAGGTCCCTGTTTGGCCCTGTAGACACCTCGGGAGTCTGAGGCCCCACAATGACAGCTCCCATGAGCCCCGGGTTCCTTGTCCCCAGGCTGCCGGCCCGAGGAGCATCATGGGATTTGTAGTCCGTGGGAATCCTCTCTAAGCTGGCGGTGGACTGGGGAGGTAGTCAGTCGTCCCCTCTGGAGTCTGGCTTGCTGTGATCTGGCTACAGCCCCGTCCTGGGGAGTCTTAGCTCATCTTCTTAGCCTGAGATCTGAGGTTCCATGATGGAGCTTGTGGGAGTCCATGGGGGGCTGTTTGACAGGGTGAGGCTTGGCAGCCCCCCGTCATTTGGCCCCCCTGCCTCATGTAGACTATCAAGTGCCTTCTGATCCACCCGAACCCCGAGTCGGCGCTGAACGAGGAGGCTGGCCGCTTGCTCCTGGAGGACTACGAAGAGTATGCGGCTCGGGCCCGGCTGCTGACGGAGATCCACGGTGGGGCCGGGGGCCCAGGGGCCGTGAGGGCAGCCAGGGCCGGGCCTGGGGGGGCCGAGGCCGGCCCGGCAGAGGCAGGGGCCTCTTCCTCGTCCCCACCGGGCCCCGGGGCCGAGGGCCCCATGGCCAAGAAGCATGCTGGGGAGCGTGACAAGAAGCTGGCCGCCAAGAAGAAGACGGACAAGAAGCGGGCCCTGCGCAGGCTGTAGGAGGGCCCCCACCCCACCCCACCCCACCCCAGGAGGGCGTGGGGAGGAGGGGGCAGCTTTTGTATCTCACTAAGTTATTTAAATTATGGTGGGGGAGGGCAGTGGGAGGGGAGCTGGGGTTTTTTCTAAAATAAAGTTGAAAAAGCAGCACCTGAAGGTTCACATGACTGAGGTCCAGAGGCCTGACTGGTTTGATGGCTCCTAGCCATCCCCATCTTCACCTGGCCCATTTGCTCCAGTAAAATCAGTGGTTGGAGTCCAGGGGCCTTTGTGTTCTCACCTGCTGGGGTCTCTCCTGGGCACCAAAGATGGCTTGGGCCCATCTCCTCCGAGGGCCTGGACCTCTAAGTTCTCACAACCTTGGCATAGTTCCTCCATTTGCTTCTGTTAAAGGAGGGTTTGGACCACAGCTGGAAGGTTCCTCCAGCCCAGGTGCTGAACCTGGGGCTCCAACTATGGGGCCCACGTTGCTGCTGGCTTCTGATACAGGTGGAGCCTGGTCTGGGGCGGCCCCCACGGCTTTGGATTGGATCTCTTCAGGTCTGTCCCAGCTGGGACTTTGGGAGCTGCTGCTCTCTACTCTGGGCCGCTCCCTCCTTTGGTGAGGGGCTAACTTCAGCAGCCTTCCATTCCCTAGTGTTGCTCACTCCTCTGTGGGCGAGAAGCCTTTTGGTCATCACTGCAGAGGAAACCCAGTGCCTTGGGTGCACAGAAGTGAGGGAGGAGAGGAGAGCCCTTGGAGGCAGAGGAGGAAGTACGTTGGGGGGAGATGGTATCCTTGAATGGAGAGCTGGGGGCAGTGGTATGGGCTAGGTGGTAAACACAAGGTAGGAGTTGGGTTCCTGAGGCCTAGGTGAAAGGGACGGAGTAGGGCCTCAGGTGAGCTTGCTGGGGGTGGATGGCGGGCTAGCAGTCTGTCAATGCACCACCTACTCGAACGCAGTGGGCCTTCTGCTCTCCATGAAGTGAAGGACGGGGCAGAGGTGCTGAACATGTGGACAGGGCGCCCCGAGCTCCTGACAGCAGATGGACCGCCACCACTTGGCCCCGCGCGTGGCGTTTCCCAGCTCACTCTGCTGCTGATTGTGCTCCTGGGCTACCTGGCCAGTTGGATGGAGGGCATCCACGGGCTAACTCCACATTCTGCCTTCATTTCCGCTAGTTTGATGGGAGCTCTCCCATTTCAGAACACTGGCAGCTTCATGTTTCTGTCTGAATTTGAAGCTGTTTTCTATCGAGGCCCCCATGGCCTAATTGCTGTGGGCTCTGTCCATCATAATTGTAGTTGAAACTGAATTCATGACCCTTCCAGCCCAAGCTGTTGATTCTCCTCACCTGTTAGCTCAGACTTTCCTAGATCTCTCCTTGCTAATTAATTTTACACACACCCCCATACTCAATAAACACCAGTGTTCCCCATCACCTCAAGGATTAAACACAGAACCTGGAGGCATTCAAAGCCCTCCGTACCGCGTACCCTGGGAAATGCCCCCATCTCTGCCCCTGGCATCCCTCACATCTCAGCTAAATCCCATCTACAGGGAGCCCTTTTCTGTGCCCCTAAACATGTCTCCTCTCGATCTGCTGTTTATCCTGCACCCATCTTGTCTGTGTACGCTGGTTTTCATGGTGTCTCGCCCATTAGACAGACAGCTGAGAATGCCTTGAGAGCAGGGACTCTGCCTTGTGTGCCCAGCACTTAGCAGAGTGCCTGGCACGAAGCAGGCTCTTATGAATGCCTTTGTGTGCCCCCAGGCCTATCTGGTCCAGATCCCCCACCTCCTCCTGTGCCCCCCACAGGCCATCTTCAAGGTGATACATTACCAGGACAGGTGCCCCCAACCAAGCTGCGGGCAGCGCCAGCCTTTTCTGCCCCCATCCCCCACTCCCAGCTACCAGAGCAAAGGGGCCCTCTGTGAGCCCCCTAGCAACAAAAACCACTCCACAGCAAACTCTAAGCAACGGGGGTCACTCCATACCAACCCCCTAGCAACAGTGTCCATTCCATAGCAACCCAGACAAAAGACACCTCTCCATCATTCCCGGCAGCAGAGGCTTACTTCCGGGGGTCCTCATGACTGCCATTTCACTGAATCCTATCACTCAGATGGATGGAAAACCCAAACGTGGGGGGACAAAGGATTTTCCCAAGACCAGTCAAGTGCACAGAACCTAGGGCTCCGGGACAGATTCCCCTCCCCCAGCAGCCCGATGGCACCTCTTTGCTCCCCCATTGCAGGGGGTGAGCTCATTCCGTTCGAGGCCCTGGTGCTGCTGCCTGGGGTCTCCCTAATAATCCCCACATCAGCCCACTCAGGCATCAGAATACGAGGGGGTGGGGCCCAGGCAGGATGATGGCTTAGCCATAGCAACTCGAAATGAGCTTTTCCATAGCAACCGGAGACAGGTGCTCCATGGCAACCTGCAGCAAAGCAGGAACCAGTTAGGGGCTGTCTGCTGCTGTCTCCAGGGCCCAGGGCTCAGCCCCTCTCCCAGCGTCCTCACCAGGATGCCACAAGCTCCTTAGAGCAAGCAAGGCAGGCTGAGATGAGCTCACAGAGGGGCTCCCCTCCTACTGCAGAACAGAGGGGGTGGTTCGGATTCCAGGAGCACAAGCCCTCCTAAGCTGGGGAGAGGATGTGGACGGCAAGCCAGAGGTGATCCCCAGGTGACCTGGGACCTCTGAGCAAGCAGGGGTAGGACTGGAACGAGTCACCAAGAAAGTGAGGGGTCAGAAACCCCCGATCTAGGGAAGGTTTCCTAGCCCTGGGCCCAGAGGCGGGATTCCCATGTGATACAACAAACAAGGCAGGCTTGTGGGGAGGACATCACCTGCCTAAGTCACCAGATAACCTGGGACTCCAGTTTCCTCACTGGTAAAGTAACTTTCTTCTTTTTGGAGGCCATCAGGATTAAGTGACCTGCCTAGGGTCACAGAACCAGGAAGCCTGAGGTCAGTTTTGAACTCGGGTCCTCCAGGCGAGAGGGCTGGTACTCTATCCAGTGCACCTCTTACCTGCCCCTGAAATAACTTGTTTTTTCCCTTCAAGGTCCTTCCCGCCCCAAAGACCATCTCACACCCTCACTTCAGAGAGGGGTCTGGACCCCCTCCTCTTATCAGGACTTCTAAGGCGGGCCACAGAAAACCCATTTCCTTCCAGCCCCTCCAGGAGGCAATGACTGGAGCTGGACCCTGGGCAAGTTCAGGCCTAGATGGAAAACCCCCCCCTTTGCTAAGCACTGCTAACCACCAAGCAGAGAGGGGACACCCTTTGCTCTTGGAGAAAGGCCCAGACTGGGGAGGAAAAGGAGGCGGCGGCACAAACAGGTCAGGCAGTCTGACTTTATTAGCCAAAGGCAGGCCTGGCACCTCAGGTGCTCTTAGGTGGGCGAGTTCGCTTCTTTTTCACCACCACTGGCTTCTGGCTCCGCAGGATGGCGCTGGCCCGGCGCAGAGCGGCCTGGGAAGAGAGTGCAGGCCTGAAGGGAGGCACCCCGCCCCCTCCCACCACTCCAGCGCCCAGTCACCCCACCCAGCGGGCATCCCACCTCGAGGCAGCCTCAAGCAGCACGCCAGGCCAGGCACCCGCTTGCTCCCTTCCCCCGGGTCCAGGCTCTCACCATGCGGAGATCTTTCCGGTACTTATTCTTGCGGATAATGTGTCGGACGCTATTGAGGGTGGCCCGAGCATTTTTGTTGATTGTGGTCCTCACATAGGAAGTGGCAGGCTTCCTCTGACCTGCAAGGGGGAGGGAGAAGTAGGATCCGGTGACTTGTCTAGGATACCTTCCACCTTGAGAGTGATGGTGGTCAGGCAGCCTCTCAACTCCAAGCTGCCTTAAGGGGCTGCTAAGAGGAAGGCAGCGGGAAGCCTTCATCAAGCGCCCCGACGTGCCAGTGCCAGCCGGCAGCAACTGGGTCCCCAAAGAGATCAAGCACAAGCCCCCCTATCTCTCCAGACAGGAAAAAGAAGCTGGAGAGGATCTGGTCAGGCACACTCCACATGCTGGACCAAAAATGCCAGCCTTGGACCCCCAGGCACTTAAAGCCCATCCAGGAAGACAGGGATATCAAAGTATGGGGTTCAAGCCATCGCGGCAGGGGACGTGGAGGGAATGAGCAGTAGCAGGCACTCAGAAAGTCTTCTGGAAGAACAGAAATGTGGCAGACTTGGGGCCCCTGACCACCCCACCCCAACTGTAGAGAAAAACTCACACTAAATCTGAGGCCCAAGGTCAGACACAGCAGGTGTCAGGGCTCTTTCTGCTCTACTTTAGGCTTCTGGGGAAAGGTTGCAAGTCCCTGAAATGACTTCCCCAAACCAGCCTTGGGGCACCCCCACCCCCTTACCTGGTATATGTACTAAGCCTGCAATGCCATCCTGGTGACTCCCTAGAACTGCCCCCACAACCCTCAGAATCCAAGGCCCATGCCACTACTCCCTCCTCCCTCAAATATTCTCTTTTCTGGGGTCATCACCTCCCACCTACTCTCCCTATTTCCATGTCCTATCTCACCCAGAGAAGAGAAGGTCCCAAAGGGCACGGAGTGAGGCACTCAGGGAATGCTTGCTTCCCTCCAAAGGCATGCTCTGGGGGAGGCCCCTCACACGGTGGGCACCTCCTAAACTAGCTGGGAGCGTGGGTGGCAATGCAGGACGTGCGGTCGGGGAGGGCGCCGGCCTCAGGCCTCCCCCTGGCGGGGGCTTGGCAAAGACCAGCCCCTCTGGGACTCACTTTCCCCGTGTGTCAAAGGAGGCCAATGGATTGGACTGCAGCGGATTCAACCACTTAAGCACCCACTCCGTGCAAGGGGCTGGACCGTGCAGCGGTTAGACCCACCTGCCCGGCGCTTCAGCACCACCACGATGCCCTTGCCGTCGGCGGCCGGCTCGATGCCCACCGTCTTCCGGTGGATCAGCCCGTTGTAGCGGAACGAGTTTCGGGCCTTGAGGTTGTTGGGCTCCTGCGGGAGGAGGGGGTGGTGAATAGGGGTCCCGGCCCGGGGGTGCCGCCCCCCCCACCCCCGCGCCCCCCACTCACGGTGCTGTATGTCTGCTTGTTGCGCTTGATCAGGAAGCTGGAGCAGTTCCGAAGGACCATCCACTGCAGGTGGGCCGACATGGCAGCGGTGGGCTGGGGGCGACAGGGGGGAGGTCAGCTGGCGGGGGGGGGGGGGGGGGGGGGCGGGGGGCCCCGGGGGGGGGGGGGGG